TGATTAGGAGAAACTAGAAGACAATGATTCTTGCTTTAGGTGTCTAGTGGCAAGACCGAGCATGAGAATCGTGTCATCAGATGAAATAGAAGATACAGGGGAGTGAATATGCTTTCTTTAACAACTGCGGATATTATTTACAAAGAGTGAAACTGCAACAAGAGACGTATAATCTTAGATTGCTTGAAAAACCACTTGGAAAGTACAAGAAATATGTTGAGGCATTACCTGTCCCTATAAATTCGAACATCAGAGTTGGAGCTTCAGTCAAGTTTTTCCCGTTTGCCATATTCCAGTCTGCATAGTGGCAATGGCCACGTCTGCAGCGTCCTTAACTGTAGGAAAATTGCATATTGCCACCTGAAAATATGACATAAATATGCTTCAGATTTCGTTTGATATTCATTTTACTGTGCTTATTTAAGAGTTGAGAAATGAAAACTAAGCAAAGAAACAAGTTAAGCCAAAGCAGGGATAGTTGACTATACCACTGAATGCTGCGGGATTCTCTGAAGCCGGAAGGTAACCTCAATTATGACCCCCAAAGTCCCCTCACTCCCAATAATCAAGCGGGTCAAATCGTATCTGAGACACCATGCAGACAAGTATCAAACATTACCTCAACGGCTAAAATTAGTCTTCAGGGAAAAAGAAATACAAACAAAGAACCAAGAAAACAGTTGAAGACTGAAGACAAACCCTGCAGCACTCTTTCTAGCACGTGAAGCTGTCTTCACAACATCTCCATTAGGAAGAACCACCTGAGATGATCATAACATAAATAAAATAGAATTGTATGATAAGACATGAATCAGCAGAAGAAACAACAAACCTTAAGGCTTATAACATTGTCACGCATGGTTCCGTACCTACAAGCTAGTAGCAGCATTGTCATAGCCAACAAGAGTAAAGCACCTCCACAATTTTCAGGAATATGGGAAAGAACCTCAAGTGAATAGTCAGGGAACTACCTTACAGCTAAGGAACCAGAGCAACGTGTAGCACACATGCCTCCTTTGGTTGCACCAGGTCCTGCAACCGACTTTTGTTATCAAATTGCTGAATGGAACCCATAAACGTGGAAATTCGAGTTCGTACTATTTCAAGAGTCAGTTTAACACAATGCCAAAGATGCTGAATGATACAGCAACTGCGACTAAGAACTCTCTTAGGGTAATTGAAATTCAAATAAAATAAGATCAGTCAATCTGAAATATGTTCCAGGTATCAACAAAAGACAAATATGAAAKCTATGATCCGAGAGCTAGGGCACTATCTCAATKTTGCCTGACCTGGATCAAGAGGAAAGAATAGACCGTATTGTTCCAAATATTCATTTAGCTCCAGCCRACCAATTCCAGGCTCAACAACAACRTCCATATCCTCCACATGTAATGCTTTCACCCTCTACAKTTTGAAAGAAGWKTGAGGAAGAGAGGCATAATTTCAATAACATTTGTATGCGGAGTGTAAGTGATGCACATTCTTAATGAAAATCAAGGGCGGTGATGTCAGACAGACATAAAAGATTAGCCATACCTTCATTGATGACATGATGCATACGCCTCCATTTGGAGCCAGGGTATGACCCTCAATTRATGTAGCCCCACCATATGGTACAATAGGAACCTAAACAAACAGAAAACATTGCCAGAATAAATTCTTGCTCAAGAGCAGAGAATAGCTTCATTCAAGCCAAAMAAATCAGGGTAATAAAAGTCCGAATGGTCATTCCACCAGGAAGCKTAGATRTCTCAAGTGATAGAGCTAGTTGGCCTACACTGACTGAGCAGTGAATTTTCTACAGGGTCAAAATTGCAAACCTTATATTGATTGCAGGATTGAAGAATCTTGGAGACTTGTTTTTCGGACCTAAACAATATTTAAAAGGATGGTGATCAACGCATTTCTTCGGTCTTATAATTTGACCGATGAAGTCAAAAGATTAAACAGAAAAGGATTTAAGGCACTCAGTTGTCACAGTCTTATAATTAGAACTATTCTCAACTACAGATATTAATCTAGAATGGTAGAAACCATTGTGCCAATAAGTAGACTCACCTCGGGAAAACATCAACATGATCAAGAATGTTTACTGACTGACTTGTGGAAACTATTCTGGGGCTTCCCGTGGAAGAACCTCTCATCGTAGTCCAGAACCAAGTTATCCTTAAACACAAGGAAACACATAGGCAGCTAAATTCAGAAACAGATAAAAACCCTTTCTTAATAACGAAATTGCTGTTCAAATTAGCAGAAATATGAAGTACAGAGTTCTTGATCAATAACTTCTCCACAGTCGAAAAATCAGGAATTTCCAGGTACTTGAGAGC